TGTTGACGCAGAAAAATGGTTTAATACTTTCCCGCGTAACTTAGTGATTAGGTCTCTTCGGTATCTGATGTCCTCGGTAGGGTGAGCGATCTGTAAGATAACAAACACACGGTAAATCCTAGGGCACCGGTGTGGTACCGGCCGAAGGCTCTCCGATGCTTTAGTAAGTACGGATTTAGTAAGTTTGAACTACATATCAATAGGCAGTATGCCGTTAGTTCTGATTGATTACCTTCAAGCTGGGATGGGTGTCCTCTTTTATAGGCCTTGGGAGGTGTGCAATTTGTCTAGAGTTTCGATGTGGGACTCTGGGCGTCAGTTGTGAGGCTGCCACGCGTCAGAGGGGGCGAGGTTGCCCTAATGTTGCGATCGGTAGGTGGATTGCCGAAGAGTGGTGCCGAAGGCACACCTGGCCCTGGTTTAGCCACGTGCTCTATATTCATTGGCCGTTCATTTTGGTATAAACACAAATGACGTTTCAAGAAATAAAGCGATCATCGGTACATCAATGATACACGAAACATGAACGTGGCACCCCTAAATAAACAAATCTCTAGCCACAAATAATAAAAAAGAAAAATTCCCAGAAAGCTAGCTTATTATAAGTTGAATTATTGTCCTAAACACCATCAACCATTTTCCAAACCTCTTCTCTCTTAAACTAACAGAGGCCAACAAAACCCCATTTCAATTTCACAACCCACCTTCTATCGAAAAGCACACAATCAAACATGCCGAAGAAGCCTGATTCACAGCCTGTTGCTTTTATTGGCTACCTACAGGTGATGCCTTCGAGCAAGGGATTATCTTCTTCACAGCCCAATGAGTTTCAACAAGTTCAAATCAAAGATCGATATTCATACAAACATGCTTATGGTGGAGGGTCAAGCAGCTTTACTGGGAGCTGCAAGGCTGGAAAGTTTGTGGACAAGAGCACTGGCGGCTTGGGTTACAAGCAAGAGGCAAAGTACACCTCCACTGCCAAACATGTCGACAAGAAGCTAGGGTTTACCACTGAGTGCCAAACCCAGGTGAAGTACAAGAAGTCCGTTTACCCTAACAAGACCCAAGTGAAACAGTCTGCTTCTCCTACTCCTAAAAGAACCCAAGTGAAGTTCCATAACTGTGCTTGTCCTAACAAGACTCAAGCGAAGGCCCAGAAGTCTGCTTCTCCTTACAAGAGTGTAACCAAGTCCTACAGCAAACGTATTGACTATTATTAGATTTTCATGCTCACTGGGGGATTTCTTGGTATCAGTTATTTTGATAAGTGTCTTGAAAGTTTATGTGTCTAAGCTTGTTCATGTTTACTCGGAGTAATCTCCTGCTATATCTGTCAGTGTGAAGTATTTCTCTTTCTTATGTGATGAACTTATAAGTTGTTATTATGTCTACCTTTTTAAGTATATATTGATGTGTGTTTCTTTTTCATGATCAATCACTCCCTCTGTAGGATATCTGTCATTTTTCAGCAGACAAACCATTCTTTTGTTCAGTTTTCTTTTGAAAGTATGTTGGTTAGTTGGTTCTTGAGTTTCAAACATTTTGCAATTTTAGCAGTTTCATTCTACATCGACCCAAATTTCTGAAGTACAGCTACCTCGGGAATTTCGATTCCAATGAGCTACTTAGCCCTGAAGATCAGGCCAAAAGGTCAGAAATCCCTGGTGAAAACTTCTACCAAAGTATGAAGTATCAAAAGATTAATATTGGTACCAAAACCATGTCGAGAATGAGATTTAATTTGTTTCGGAAATTCTCCAGGTTTATTATGAGTTCTTGTAACCAATATGATGTTGGAATATTGGCCCAAATTATTGTTTCTACTTTTCCCTTTAGGCGACCACTTTGGAGAAAGGAAAAGGCAAAGGCAAGTGGGGACTTGCAACAAATCCTGGCGCCTAACGTATGGTTTCGGGCATTCTTTTCATTGAGCACTTCAATAATGTGTGGTACTTTTGCTTTTCTGATGTATAAGTTGCCGTGAGTGAGACAAGGGAGAGTGGGAAGGGAGCTGGAGCCCTTCGCATGCTCCACTGCTGCATTTGTCTATATAAGGGAGAGAGCATCAGTCAGTATTGTGCAAGCCGTGCACCATTTGGTGAGAGATTGAGGAGCTGATGCTCACTTTGTTGTGGCACTTCTTGAGAGAAGAGATGGAGAACTCGGCAGGCATGGACTTATGAATCATAAATGATTAGGGCTAATTTTTAGGCCAATTTTTTTAATTAAAAATTCGGCAAAATCTACTCTCTTTTTTTATGGCATTTCGACTACTAGGGCTTGCTGTGAGACTGCTTACAAGTTACAACATTTCAATAGTATGGAACCCTACTGAGATCATGTGAGTATAGTTGTTGTACCACCAATTCTTGTACATATTTGCATTCAACTTAATGTTTTACATGTCACAAGTGTTTATAATTTTGTAGGTATGGTAAACATCAAGCCAAACTGTCTTACGTCTCTTACTCTATATCGTTAAGCAGGGGAATGTGTGAAACACAATTATTTCTGATTTTTAAAGGGAAATTGCTACTTAGGATTCTGGTTTTTTGTTTCCCCTCTTCTCTAAGGAATCTTTCAATTTCCGAGTTGTTACATCAAAGTAAATTGCCCAAAAATTCTACACTCACTTTCAACTTTTACTTTATAGCTAAAGTAATATCATATTATTGATCACATCTCTTTAGATGTGAGATTCACAGATGACCTCTTATATTATACAAAGAGATTTTCCGTAAAAATAAGTATGATCAATAAATGTGATACATGCAACATCATTCATTTTCTTTTTTTCATGCCTTTTGTTCCTTTATGAAGATTGAGTTTATACACATTTAAATTATGTTTGTGGAGTTAACAATCATTATGATGACTTATATATGATTGTATATGATGTAATTAATTTTACAGATTTCTGGTGGATGATGTACCCATAAGAAGGTATCAAAGAAAGAAGAAATTATATAATACTACAGTACTATGTTCACGTGGTACATCTTGTGCGCTGTTATAATATGGGTGGATGACATAGTTTTTTTTTCCCCCTTTAGGAAGTAGTATCAATAAATATTCACTTATATTATAATACGAGTATAAAATATACCGCGTAGTCATATTACCGTAGTATCCTATAATTTATGATGCCACATTTCCATTGAGGCCAATGTGGGCATATGGATCCATATGGGATGCATCAACATGGGCCACAAAGGATGGAAAATACAAAGCCGACTAGATGTACCAACCATTTATTGGAAGGTACAACAATTTCAAACTAGGTGGGTGCACAGCCGATTGCCCTACTACAACCTCATGTCGGCAGCTCTCGGCCTCACCCTCCAACGTAATGGGGCTGAGCCAGCAGCAGTACTCAGCCATGGAGTACGTGTGCAAAGGAACTACTTGGTCTATGACTATTGCCAAGACCCGAAGAGAGACCGTACACAAACACTTGAGTGTTGAAGAGTCTGCCTTGCACTTTGGTTTTCCAAGTTATGGATATAACATTTACACAAGTTAATTAATTGTTGTCTATATGTCAAATTGCCACATAGATATGAAATGGAAAAAATTAAAAGTTAAAGTTACTCCAACCGAGTAGTCAAATCCTACATGAATTTGAAGGGTGGAAAAGATATGTCAAAAATAACATATCAAAAAGCTTGATGTCAAATATTGTTTTAATATTTTTTTTAGTCATAAACCCCACTATTATTTACTCTCTTTTAACTTTAAGCATTATATGGGCCCCATTTGCTTTTAAAACTATAATAAAATAATATGAAATTTGGCATTTTGAGCGGAGTTAAAAAAAATCAAAATGTCAAATTGCCACATAAGCCATCACTTTATTGGAGGGCCTTGAGATGGATCACACTTGTTAGAAATTTGCAATAGTGGTTGTTGAGAGCGTCATAGGCCTTTGGATTTGGATTTGGATTAATGCATTGGCTTAACTGTTGATCAAGGGCGGAACCAGGAATTTTTCGATGGGTGGGATAGCTAAAATTTTTAACTTCAACTCTAATGATTTTTTTCTATTTTTTCCATTGACTAATTTTCAATAAATTTTATAAGATAAATACATATTAAATGTAACCAAAAAATACACATTGTCAAAATTAATGTGTTTATTACACCAACAACAACAAAAATGTGTTTAACAATATAATTGAAAGTATACCTATTCAAGTTTCTTGTTTCTTAGCATCAACCGAATAAGACGAATGCAAAGTGAAAAAATATAAATAATTTAGTTTCACATATATATTAGTTGTGAACATAAGAAGATTCCCACCTATGAGTTTTAATTACCTACTGTTGTCTGTAATTATGGGTTGAAAGACTTGTGAGGGTTTTTATTGAGTACAATATTAAGAAGCTTTCCCTTTTTATTTGGGGGGAAAAAATGATTATTGACTTTACCATCAAAATAAAAAAAGCAAAAGGTTGCATGCTTCGAGTGGGAAAAAAAACAAACAAACAAAACCCAGCCTGCTAAGCAATTGCATGATTTGGTCAATTTGATTGGAGGACTGGATCAAAGTAAAAAGGCAGCAAACTTGGTGGGTCATATAGATATACGCAATATTTTTATCTTTAAAGCTTTCCTAGGCTACAGCCCACCACCGCCCTTGCCTATGATGATACAATGAACCCTTAAGATGTGATTATAAGTCTATAATTAGAAGTCTATAATGTGCTTCTTCAGGAAGCAGTCTCAAGTGCTTTTTCAAAAAGTACTTCGATTTCTTATGAAAATTTCAACGTCTTTATAATAAAATCGCTTTTGGTAGAAGTGCTTCCTAGAGAAATAGTCTCAAACGATCCCTTATTTGACTGCTCCAAGTGCTTTTCACAGTGGGAATGTTGTGGTTGGGGAGGAAGGTAAGAAGGATTAGGAAGATAGGGGAGAAGGGAGACATCGGTAAAATCAAAGGAGGATGACAATAAAGAAGGCTCATTTTGAGTTTCTAGAGATAAAGTTATGGTCTTGGGGAAGTAAAGGATAGAGGAGGAGTATGGGGGAAGGCAATTTTTTTTCTCCTAGAAGGAGGAGTTGATAAATAGAATAAATTATTATTTTTAAAGTATATAAAATATGAAGGCACAAAAAAGTTGTTCGTGTCCTATGGAAAGCACAATTAATCATGTTTTTAAACTATAATAATTACTCTCATTGACAATGAGGTGACAAGATGAAAGCTGATATTAGCATTGGACACAAAGGTCGTGTCCAAATTTCAGTAAGCACAAATATATTTGTTCTTAGACACACATTTACTATGTCTTTTGTGTAAAAGACATCTTTAAGTATTTTTTTGTGCTAGAGAGAGAGAGAGAGAGAGATGAAAGAGAAGAAAAAAAACTACAAAACCTCACCTTTTTTTTGTTTTTAATAATTAGGATGTTTTTTAGTTTTTCTTGGGTTGGAGTTTTTAAAAATGGGCTTATCAAACGGGTTTTTGTAGCTTTTAGACCTAAAATTTGTTTTTGAGTTTATAAAATTGAATCAAAATAGGATACCGAATAGGCCCTTACTTGTTTGAATTTTCTTTTAGTTCTTCTCAAATTTGATTAGGTGTGTGCGCGTCCAACTTTTTCAATCTGCCCCTTAATTAGAGTCACAATGAAAAGTCTCATTGGTGTTGGGCCATAAAATTTCAGACTAGATTTGATAGGGTGCATCAGGCCCATGCAATAGTACAACGCTTGGGCGACACGCGAGAACCCCAGTAGCAAGCAACTGTAGTGGGCTCTCCCCCTAAAGAAATTAATTTAATAAAGTCAATGGGCCATTGGCCCACATACCAGATATTAAACTGATAAGAACAGATGCTACACTTGATCTTAGCCAAAAGGCCGAGAAAGGTATGCTTTTACCTGCCTTGGGCTGATGTTTTTTATACCAACTCTCCAACTGTTTATTTTCTCGACCTGTCGATGTGGGAGATCAGAGGTTTCTTTTCTTTTCGTAAAGTTTCTGCTGTTCTTGAAAGTAGATTCATGCATAGGCATTACCAAAGATTGGGTAGCAACTCCAAGGCTCTTGTAGCCTCAATTTCTTGAGTTATAATGTTTCTTCATTATATGTTTTTTTGGGGAAAAGATGGGGAATCCATTTTGCAGACTTTTACTTAAATTATTATTAGAATCATGGTCATGGAATTTGACAGCCAAAAATCAACACAACAACCATATGATTCTAAGCTGGTTTAGCCATGGTTTCAAAACACCTATGATCAAGGGCGGAACTAGAAATTTTTCGATGGGTGGGATAGCTAAAATTTTTAGCTTCAACTCTAATGATTTTTTTTTTCCATGGACTAATTTTCAATAAACTTTATAAGGCAAATACATATTAAATGTAACCAAAAAATACACATTATCAAAATTAATGTGTTTATTTTACCCACACAAAAAAAAAATTAATGTGTTTAATAATATAATTGAAAGTGTACATATTCAAGTTTCTTGTTTCTTAGCATCAACCGAATAAGGCGAATGCAAAGTGAAAAAATGTAAATAATTAAGTTTTACATATATATTTAGTTGTAAACACAAGAAGATTCCCACCTATGAGTTTTAATTACCTACTGTTGTCTGTAATTATGGATTGAAAGACTTGTGAGGGTTTCTATTGAGTACAATATTAAGAAGCTTTCCCTTTTTATTTTGGGGGAAAAAACGATTATTGACTTTACCAACAAAATAAAAAAGCAAAAGGTTGCATGCTTCGAGTGGAAAAACAAAAACAAAACAAAACCCAGGCTGCTAAGAAATTGCATGATTCAGTCAATTTGATTGGAGGATTGGACCAAAGTAAAATGCAGCAAACTTGGTGGGCCATATAGATATACGCAATATTTTTATCTTTAAAGCTTTCCTAGGCTACAGCCCTCCACCGCCCTTGCCTATGATGATACAATGAACCCTTAAGATGTGATTAGAATTCTATAATTAGCAAATATTTTATTGAACATTGTTGATGTGGACCTTAACAAAAAACAAATGAAGGTCTAAAATATTTGGGGTTTTAGAAATATTGATAGTTCAAAAATACGGAAATATTTGGAAAATGTCGATATCAGTAAAAATTGAATAAAAACCAAAAAATTGTAAGAAAAACTTGAAAATTTTGAGTCAAACCTTAGAGGATGTTATTTAGTCATTTATCTATTATTTTATCACCAACAATTGGGAGGAAATGCATTGCATGGTCGATTTAATTGATTTAAGTTGATTATATAACTAGCTAACAGACACTGTGAATGTAGAAAATATGGAGTAATTAATTAAAGAAGATTAAACACACCATAATCAATTATTTATAATGTTTTACTGCAATATTTAACACTTTATATATTGCATGGTAAGATACATGAGTAATTTAGTACTACATAAAGTTCCTATGATGTTCAAATTTTGCAATGTCTTCATCATCTCTATGTGTACTGTGAAGAGTGGTCATCAAATGATAAATCCCCAAAATATTTTTGTATGTATTTGTTAACATGTCACCCTTATGGATCTGAGATTGATTGACATTGCCCATAAGCAAAATCATTTGAAGATTGGTCTTAGATTCTTTTCCTGAGCCACTCGATTCCATCCCAAAAGACATGGGAATATGAAGGGTTGGTTTTGCGTACAACATTAGCTACTAGTTCTCATTCCATCCCAAAAGGTGGTGCTTTTTTTTTCTTTTTCCATTCCATGTACACATCCTAATTTTATCAATAATATCCCAATATTTTGTCCAAATGTTATTAAAGAGAGAGCGAAATTCTTGGATCTGAAATTTCCCCTATATTATTGATACTTATACGATAATTGTATCAGACGCACAAACTAAATTGAAGGGCAATGATAAAGTGACATAACAATTTTTCATAATTAGGCAAGCATGCAGGAGCCAAAGTTATGGAATGGTACTGTATCACCACGTCAGTTGGTGATACTTCCATTTAAAATATGTCATGTGTTATTTTTTAAAAATAATTAAAAAAATTTGACAACTGACGTTGAATTTATTTTTAACTTTAAAATAAAATTGAGAAAATAGGAAAAATAAAAAGCCACCGCCCATCTGTTGCCTCTCCTTACTGTCGCGCCCTCCCTCTCTTTTTCTTCCTCCCTCCATCTCTTGACATTGCCCATCTGTTGCCTCAACTATTGCCCATAAAGCATCCAATGTATTTCCATACAGAACATTTTGAACCATAAGATCGGTGGCAAAGGAAGACAGTGCGAGGTAGGGAACTGGTTTGTGGTGTGGTGGGTTTCGGCATCTTTTGTTTTTTGGTTTTTTAAAATTTATTAAAAAGGAAATAATGAATTTTAAATCTAGCTGTTAAAAAGTTAATAATTTATTTTAATAGACTAACACGCGTCGTATTTTAGATGAAAATATCACTAACTGACGCGGTATTTCTCCCATGTTTGAAGTGGTCTTGACCCTTCCACTCTTTTTACAACTCTTTTAATTCCTGACAAAAATATATGATAATTGTACAAAATATTTTTAAAATAATTAAGATAATAAAATTATTTACAATTATGATATATTGATCCTTTTAGTGTTGGCCCTCATTTAAGATAATAAAATAATTTACAATTAAGTTTTAAATTTTGACCCCTTCGATCGATAGAATAATTTACAATTATGAAGAATCAAGTGGTTAATGTGATAGGCTACCTTGGGCCTTGACCTCTGCCAAAGTGATATGATTTAGTCTATAGGGCTTTGGTTTGTATTTTGGGCCTCCCGCAAATCCATAAAAGAAAAACAATTATGACCACTGACACCAACATATCATATCATCCCCTACTGAGTCCATTATTCAAGAACTGACTCACCTCAGCTTTTGCTCACAACTCACTCATTCCCATGTAACTTGTTGATCAACTTTCTCTGACAATTTCGTTCCAGTATTTTCTTTTGTGAAATAATTTGACTTTTGAAAGCTACTGAGAATTTTATGTCATTTCAGCAGATTCAACACTTACAGCTTTTCTGCTTTTCTGCTTTTCTTGTACAAGATATTGAGATGTGACAATTTGGATAGAAACGTTTAAAGAAACGTGGCACCCCTATATCTAGCCAAAAATAATAGAAAAGAAAAATTCCCATATAGCTTACTGCAAATTGGAAGGCCAACAAAACCACATCTCAGTTTCTCACAACCTACTTTCTATCAATACACACAAAATCAAACAATGTCGAAGAAGCCTGATTCAAAGCCTGCGTATGGTTACTGTGGCTACCTAGAAGTGATGCCTTTGAGCAAGGGATCATCTTCTTCACAGCTCAACGAGTCTGCAGAACTTCAGATCAAAGATCGATATTCGTGTAAGGATGCATATGGTGGAGGAGGTTCAAGCAGCTTTACTGGGAGCTACAAGGCTGGGGAGTTTGTGGACAAGAGCACTGGTGGCTTGGGCTACAAGCAGGAGGCAAACTACACCTCCACTGACAAGTATGTGGACAAGGAGCTAGGGTTTACCACTGAGTACCAGACCCAGGTGAAGTTCAAGAAGTCTGTTTACCCTAACAAGACCCAAGTGAAGTTCAAGAAGTCTGCTTCTCCTTGTAAGAGTGGAACCAAGTCCTACAACAATCGCGTTGACTATTATTAATTATGTTTAGATGTTCACTGTGATTTCTTGGTATTTTGAAATTGTAATGAACTTAGTTATGTGTCTGTCCAAGCTTGTTTATGTTTACTTGGATGAATCTCCTGCCATCCGCTGTCAATGTGAATGAAGTAGCTCTCTCTTTCTTATGTAATGAACTTGTTAGTATGTCTAGCTTGTTTATTTATATATAAACGTGTGTTTCTGTGTCAATGTGTAGCTTTGTCTAATTATATATATATAAATGCCATGTTGCTACTTCGACAACATGGCATCAACAAAGGCCCAACGAAGGTGGAACTAGTAAGCGCTCTTGTGCTGAAATGTGCAGTTAAAGCTGCTAAACTTCGATCGAAATCAGGGAGATCGGTACGCCTGGTCCGTCCCGTCCCGGACAAATGCTGTTTGATTACTCCTATGTGCTTCAGTAACCACATTATTTTGTCTGATACAAAATGGGGTGAAGATATTTAGCAAAAATATATAAAATGATTTCAAATCATAACAGATTGACAAACTAGCTACCTTTTGTTGTATGGTATTTTTCTTCCCAACAGAGATACTAAATTTGAATTCTCCTATCCACTAGATAAAATTTTTATAAAAAAAAATTGTTGTTTTGGGAAATGAATTTGTACTTCTTCTTAAAGACCTTTGCACCTTGAAACTAAGAAAAGAAGACGATCCTCAGTCTTTGAACAGATTGGTGTGGTGTGAGTCAAAGAGTCATTGATATCTAAGTTAGTATGATTGTACGAAGAGAAAAGTAGGGTTTCCTAGCTCAAGGAACAATTACCTTTTTCCAAAAGGCGGAGATTAAAAGATAAGTCTTGTTGCGCTTATTAAATTTATTGTGGGTCTTTTTCTCTTTTTGTTGATTTAGGATCCAATCATTGTTTTGAACATTTTATCATTAAAAGGAAATAATGAAGAGAAAAAAATTGAAATTTCTTCTTTTACACACCTTCACCTCATAATTCAAATTAAAAAAATTGAAGCTTTGTATTCTCGACACACATGAAACAACCAAAAAATTCAAGATACAATCTATTTATTTATGTGATAAAATACTTTTTAAAATGTCAAACTATTTTCTTTCTTTTCTTTATACAAGCAATATTAGGAGAATAATGAATCGAACCTAAGACCTCAAGCGCATGAATAAATATTGTTAACCACATGAGCTACAAGTCATGTGCACTATTTTTCTTGCTCTAGTTTAGGCGAAGTGCCATTCTAAGAAATGTAGTTTCAATTTTGGCTCCAAAAAAAGGTGGTTGCAATTATTTATTAGGCCAGCCCTCGTTGTAGGCCCAAAAGTCAGATAACGTGGAGTACAAGAAAGCCAAAAACCTAGTGCACTTCTACTTTTAAGACAACTCCTAATTGGATTATGGCTCCTTGTAGAGGGTCTTTTAGTTCAATTTCCTCCGTCATTTTTATCAAAATCGGACCGAACCAAATGATTCGACCGTATCGATTCAATTCGGACCGTGTCCATCATTACTTTCATTTTAATTTTTTTTGGGTCAAGATCATTACTTTCATTTGTTTATCATCTTTCCATGGATCGAGTTGAGATTGATTTGGAAATGACATAAGAGCCCATGGCACTGTATCTGTATGGTTTTACTTTACTTGGATACCGTATCCGTGACCACTGACAACACCCACACCGTCACTTAAATTGTTTGTATAAAAATAAGGGTCTTTTAAAGCCTCTGACACGCCTCGGCTGGCACCCTGCTGGCTCGATGAAACCTGTCTGTCCCTTCCTCTGACATTTCATATTCCCGCCTTTTTTCCCCCTCTTCCTTTTCTATTCCTTACAATTATTTACTTGTTTATTCATCCTTTCTTTTCCCAGCTTTCCCGATTTCCCAACGTTCTAGGCCAACACAAGCACGAATTATTATGCCCCAACCCAAAAATAAATATTGACCAAAAAAAAACCCAAAAATAATAATAATAATAATAATAATAAATTTAATAAAATAATATAAATTTCCTTTTGAAATGTATTATTCCTTGGGTTTGCAAGTTGCAACCCAATACATATATATATTTATAAAATAGCAAAAAGTGAAAATATTGGTATAAAAATTATTGGGTATAGAATATTCAAAACTATACACAGATCTCACGAGATTTGGAAAAGAAAAAATAGAAGGAAGAGTAAAGTTGGAATATAATGGGATTTCCCTACTTTTTTTCTGTAGAAAAGTTTTTGACTTTACAGTATTTGTTTCAGCTTACATATACAAGAGTATTGATCACATTTACTGCCAACCGCACAAACAGCCACTGAGAACCCGCCGGTTCAGAGATGCGGGTCCCACCAAGCACATACCACCAAAAAAGTCTAGCTGTCGTCAACTATACAATGCAGCAAATGCGATGCGCGCCCATTGGCTGGGACACCATTTCTCCTTTCCCAAATTCCACTTGTCCACGCGGTCGGCGTCCTATTGGCTCGAAACTCTCGACCTTCTGTACGACCTGGCCCGCTTGTTCGCCAGAGCGGAAATAACCCGCCACGTGGCGTCGCCTTCGTGGACCCGATCGTTGAACATCAGGGCCCGCGGAACGCGCGGGTCCCACAGGTTCTTTTGAATTGCGCTCAAGTTGGTCGCCGCCACGTGTTCGAGTATCTCCGCCAGCTTACCCACGTCTTTCTCCGCTACGTTTACCGATATCTCCGCCCACGGAACGACGTCGTCGAACGGCAACCGGATTCCGTCCGCTATGATCACCGGCACGCAGCCCAGGGCCACCGATTCAACCAGTCTAGGGCTCCACGGGGCCCACCCCAAGGGGCAGAGACAAAACACCGACCGCACGATCTCCGACTGGTAACCGGCGAACCGATGCCTCTGCAGGAAGAACCTCCGGTCACCGTTGTACTTACGCCACAGCATTGTCCTCACCCGCCTTGAAAAAGACGAGGGCAAATCAGTCAATTCACAAAACATAATGATTATGATTTTGATTAGTTTCATTTACTTGCTTAATTATTAAACAATTATTACTTGCTGTAGAAACGGCCGCTGATGTTTTTTGGGTGGACCTCCATCTTGCCCCGGAAGAAAGCGAAGATGTCTCGCCGGCCGGTTACCGGAGATTTCTCCAGCGTCCTCAATACACTTTCCGGCGAAACGTACGGCGGAATGACCACATTCTCAACCTCTTGACATGGGTGTCTCTGTTTCACACCGAACGTCTGTAACACGATGGAGTTCTTTAAGAACCCCGGTATCCCATCCGATATCGCCACATCCTCCTGAGAAAACGAAAACCAAGAAAACTATTTAATAAATCCAGAACAACAAAAACAAAAAAGAAACGTTTTTTTTTTTCTGTCACCGCCCAACTGAATTACCATGGTGTGGAAGCAAGAACCGAAGTCATGGGAAGCGACGAAGACGTGGTCGGAGCCGTGGGACCGATCCCAAAATGGGTATTGGGTGGATATTAAGTTAATGGCGGAGGCTATGAGAGAACGAGCGTGGCCTATTGCCGGGAAGCCATTGACGGTGCTGAAGTTGCAGGAGACGTAGACAGGGACGAAGAAGAAGTCCGCTTCGTATGGGTCAACGGTCAAATATTCGCTTGTCAAAAGCGCCCTGTGAATGGCGACCTCGGAAGCAAACAAGTGGGTGCTGCATCTCTCGTTTTTTAGCCAATCCGTGTTGTATTTCGCTGGCAAATCGTATACGAAAATCTTCAAGTCGTTGAAGGGCAAGCCTGAAAAACACAAAAAAAAACATGTTCTTTAGAATTAATTCATCAAATTTGTCTAAAAATTATGAAAAGGAAAATATGGGATTTTTTAAGATTGACGAATATGGTTTATTGACCTTGTTTCTGTGTGATGTTATTGGTGGTGGATTCGAAGAGGGCACGAGAGGCTAAGCTTGAGAAATGGGTTTTGGAGAGGGCGGTGGGTTGTTTGTTGTTCTTCTGATTGGGGTGGTTACTGATGAGATAGGAGCTGAAGAAGTAGAAGGAGAGGGAGAGCCAGAGAACCCATTTGCAATTTCTATAAAAGAAGTTTTTTTTCTCTAATTGAGGTACTGATGATCTTCCATGTTTGCCGGGCAAGAGCTTCATTCTGACATAGAACCCTCTGTTTTTCGGGGCTCTGATCTTCTGCTCCAACATCTCATTTAAAAGCCCAGAAAAGATTCAAGCTTTCGGTGAAATATTCTGAGAAAACGAAAGGGTTTTCAGTGGTTGCGGGAGGGCTTTCGGTTCTTGGTCTGGTGATGAAGTGGAAACGAAGGAACAGTGACGGATGAAATGCGGGTTTGTTGGCGTTTCGTTTTTGAACCAAAAAATAAAATTAAGAAATGGAGAAAAAGTTCAAATCTTTGATGTGGTTGAGCTCTGTGTACATGTGAAAATGGAATAAAAAATTGAAATTAAGAAATAATCAAATAATAAAGAATGAAAAAAATGGTGTGCACAGTTGCGGACAGAGATCAGAGAGGAAGAACTGGGTTTCAGGGCGTCACATGGTGGTGAAGGATAGCAGAAGAAAGAATGGACCTCGGCGATGGTCTCGGGTTGCTGTAATGTAATGCTTCTTTGGGTGCCAATTCTGCTCAAATGACGAAAGCGCCCTCGGTATTTTGTACCTTCAAAATTTGACAGTTTTCACTTGGTGCTGGGTGGCTTTCAAGCTTTTTTTTTTTTTTTTAAAGCATTATGCTAAAGTGGATGATTTTATCTTTGTATTATCCGATAAGCCAGTCTGTAAGCATCTGCTTAATCAATCTAACACCATCAATAACAGCAGTCTCTCAGTTGTGGTCATCAGTATAATCATTCATTCCTTGTATTTGGGTGTTGATCATAAGTACTATTTTGATTAATATTTGACGCGTAAAGTAATGGAATCGGTCGAGAATTTTATTTCATTTATAAAAAGTAATTTAAAAAAAACAGAGAGAATGTTCGGTAAAGGGGCAAATTTGGTATAAGAAATTAACGTCCAAAAAAGGCTTCACAGCGTGGCAACATTGAAAAAGGAACATTTTTTGGGCAAAATGGGGCACTTCATAAAGTACCTTTGGAAGCTCATACATACAGTTGAGGAGGATATGCAATTAAAATGGAGATCAAAGGGCAGGGAAAGCTTTAGTTATGAAACCTAGGATGAGAGAATGCCACGAAATCGTTGAAATTTCCGTGTAAATTTAAAGTTAGTG